AGTGTGAGCCTGGGTCAGTCACTGGGTCAGTCATTGTGACCTGGTTGCACTGCTGGGCCTGGCGGGGCCAGAATGTCCGTGTTGAGAACGGAGGGTGACAGCTGACTTTTGACTCGCTGAGCTGTGGCTCCTGCAGGCCCCTCACCAGTCCTCTTCCCACCAACTTCTCCCAGCAAAGCCGACCATGTGACTGCTCATGCTAACTTTCAAAAGGAAAAAGGAAAACCAAATCTGCCCAAGTGACACTTTAAGAACAGGTTTTGGCAGGGGCTCACAGCGGGGTTCTCACTCCCCAACACCCAGGAGAGCCGTCTCAAACCGGACCTGGTGGGCCTTCTGCTCAGCCCCTTCCTGGGTCACAGCCACCACCTGACCCGTTGGGGAGGGCTTCCCATGGGCAGAAATTCCACAGCTCCCAGTGAGAACCCAGGGCTCGAAGGAGGATACGGGGGAGCCAAAAAGGCTGTTTCACAAAAGAGTTTCTGCTAAAAGTCACTCCTGAAGCCTTTGAAAGGGGTGGCCGGTGCTTTGAAGTGTTATGTTCCAGGTGCTGTCGACTTAACTGGCTAGCTTTGATAAATGATGTCAGATTTTAACAATGAAAACTGCATTACCTTGTGCATTTTTATATTCTGATTCCTCACTTTTTTTAAGGTTAAGGTTTATGTATTTTCCATTAGTAATTTCATTTCTAACCTGGTAGAAGCAGCTTAGTTCTCTACATACCTATTAAGTGCCCTGTGTCACAGAAGATTCAGAAAAAATGCACTTGGGAATCCAAGAAAATGGGACTTCTTTTTGAAAAGAAAAACAACGGTACTGACTGTGTCGACACAGCCTCAATAAAACCTGTTGTGTAAAAACAGCACGCGCCGAGCCTGGCATTGACGCAGAGGGTCTCGGACTGGATTCACCGGGCACCCAGGGAGCTGCCAGCATGGTTTCTGTCACCGCATCAGAGACGCTCCACGCTCTTAAGCTGCCGAGGTTGTGCAACAAGTAAACGCCAAGAAGCATTTTAAGAAACCAAAGTAAGCAGTGGCTGGGGCTGGGGGAGACGGATCGAGCTTCCCCGGAACATTCCTGCAAGCTCTCAGGGGTAGTGGAGCGTGACAGCTGGCTCAGGACCCCAAGGGCCAAGTTTCAACATCTGATACAAATTATGAATGAAATCATGAAACTTTGCTCTTGTGGGCGGGGCTAGTGCCAGGCCAGTGCTTATAGCAGGGCCGGTGGAGCAGTCTTGGGCAGAAAGCACCTGTCCCACAGCTCGCCATGCTTGGCAGCGAGGGATCTGTCCCAAGCTGTGGGGATTGGGATGGCACATCTGAGACCAATGCCTGCCCTGCGAAGCCCTGGGGTTTGCCCAGCCTGGCAGAGCACTCTCTTGGTTGACCGCCCAGCAGTCCTGAAACCTCGGGCTACCTGCGGGGGGCATGCACCTCCCCCAGGGCCGGAAGGATGCTCAGAGAATGTCCCTGATGTTTGATGGAGGTGTCTCCTCCCTCTCAATTCTCCTTTCTTTGAAATGGCGAATGTGCAGAACTTCCTAACAGGCGAGGCCTGTGCCTGGGGCCCAGGAGGCAGATTGAGGCACAGCTTTCAGTCCACCCAGAGCACCTGGGACGATGCACTTCCCCACCCACAGGCTGGCAGTCCGGTGATAGGTGGTCCCCTCTGCCCCCCCTCCACGGCTCTAGTTTTTGGCCAGGCTGGGCCGGGGCCTACCTGGGAGCAAACTATGAAGCCAGGCTTTGAGAGCAAGAAAATTTGGCTTGTTTCTGCCCCCCTGCCAGGGTCACTCTGAGCAACCTCCAACATGAAATGGCACCAAACCATGACTGCTCTGCCCGTCCTGGGTGAACAACACTGCAGGAATTTGCTTTGACAACCCAGCCGCCCGTCACCTTGGGGTCCTAGCTCTTAGGAGAGCACAGCCCAGAGAGGCCCTAGACACTAAAGGTCAAGGGGGGAGAATGCATTCAGGGCAGAGGAGAAACAGAGGAAACCGGTGGGATTTACCGAAAACTGTTTATTGCTCTGTGGCTTCCGCTGGAAGCTGTTAACAAGCCTGAGACAGCCCAGGGCCAGGTGTGTATGGAGATCAGATAGATTCAACTGTATCTCCTGGATCCATGGAAACCTGTTGCTCTCAGTCCTGCCCAGTCAAAGACAGGCTTTCTGGCAAATTGACTAAATCCCAACGAGGAGAACGGATGCTACTGCAGACCATTTCCTCCCCATCCCATGTCCTAGATAATAAGGAAAATGCCACGCGTACCCGCCAATAAACCTGCCCTGCTTCCTCGTGTCTGAGGAGCCAGGGGTGCCCAAGGCTCTGCAGCAAACCAGAAACCCAGCAAGAGGGAGGCCCCAGTCCCTCACTCCGTTCCAGTCACCTCCCCGTGACCCCGGCCCCAGCGGTGCCTGTGCCCAGGCTGCAGGAAGACCGAGGCAGGGGGCAAAGCCCAAAGAAGCGCAGGGTTTCCAGACTGAGCTGTCGCTGGCCCCACTGGACACGGCGGAGCCCCAGCAGCCAGGGCCCTCACAGACTCTTCTGGAAGACCCGGTGCAGGCTCTGGGCCAGGATGTCGGTCTCCTCATAGCCCTCACAGCTCTGCTGCCAGCTTTCTGTCACCTGTTCCATCCCATAGTAGGCGCCAGCAATGGCCCCAGCCATGGTGGCAATGGTGTCTGTGTCCCCACCCAGTGAGATGGAATAGATGAGAGTCCTTTGGAGGCTATTGAAGGTAGAGGGGATCTCGGGGTCGGGCTCCATGCAGCGCAGGAAGCAGTAGATGGCAGTGGGCACAGATTCAAAGGCGGCAATGCCATTCCCTGTGGGGACACCAGATTATGGGGATTTGACACCCCCGCTCCCCACATGTCCCTAGGTTTCCTGCCACTTGCCACAAGTCAACACTCTCAGCTACAAGTTGGGCTGTGACTAAGGTCACAGGCTCTACAGGTAGACTACCTGGGCTCAAATCCTCCTCCCCACCCCCTGGCTGGGTGACTGGGAAAGTTCCCTAATGACCAAGGTTACTGCACCTCGGGTTTGACTCCTACAGAGTGAATCAGGTTAGGAACTCGCACAGGGCTCGCGTGAGGGTGAAAGGAGACCAAACAGATAGAGCACTCTGCACAGTGCCCAGAACACAGTGAACGTGCTACTAACTCACCAATGGCAGTGAGCAGCGGCTGTGAGAACTGCGGCCAGCTGCCATTGCTGGGGATCTTTATCTGTGAGGACGGAGGAGCTGCAGCCCCAGAGCAAGAAGGCACTAAACTCACTCAAAACCTGCCAAGGACCCTGCAGAGCTGGCACAGCAGCCCCGGGCAAAATGTGAGGGCAGGTCTGACTCCTTGCTCCCCTCCCATCCTGGGCCCAAGCCTGTCCCTAAGGATGATGTGTGGGTGTGGGGACTACCCACCCAGCTCAGACACCACCTCCTCTCTGGTCACCGCGTCCTGCTCTAGAAGCTCTCCAATCTTCTTCAGTCGGCTGGAGTACGGATGCTCCTCCATGCCCAACCTGTGGGTCCGGGGGGCAGGGGGGAGATTGCAGGGAGGTTGGAGCAAGGCATGGGGAAGGTTGTGAGGGAGGGGGAGGGTTATGAGGGAAGGGGAGGGTTGTGAGGGAAAGGGAGGGTTGTGGGGGAAGGGGAGGGTTTGAGGGAAGGGGAGGGTTGTGGGGGAAGGGGAAGGTTGTGAGGGAGGGGGAGGATTGTGAGGGAAGGGGAGGCAGAATGTGGTCAGGCTGACACCCAGGCCCAGGTGTCCTGACAAGTGGGAGGGGGCTGGGTGTGACCCTGAGCCTTGCTTGAAGCCCAGCCCTGGCCAAGGTACTCTCCCACCCCTCCCCAGGGTCTGCAGTTACAGAAGGAAGGGCTCAGCTGTGGCAACACCAGAGGAACCCATCCCATAGGCATGCACACTCGCAAACACCTCCAGCCGCCTCCATGCCACATACTCACTCCCTGGCATCCGAGACGGACTGGGCATCACTCTCCAGCTCTTCCATGTGGCCCAGGAGTTGCTTGAGAAAGTGCTCACTGGACGACTCCCCCTGCAAAGCCAGGTGCACAGCCAGGGCCTGCAGGATGGCACCGTTGTAGCCCAGGGAGGAGGCGTGTGTCAGCTGGGCCGAGAGCCGGGCGAACTAGGGCAAGGGCAGTGGAGGCTAAGACCTGCTGTCACAGAACCCAGAGAAGAGGGGGGGTGGGGGAGAGAGGGGACAGCCCAGAAGCCCGCTGCCCAGACTACCTTCTGCACATCCTGGACGCTGCTATAGGCCAGGGAGATGCCAGCCACCCGCATGGCGCCCCCGTTGCCGTAGGAGCCCTTCCCGTTGAACTGGGCCCGAGCAGGCTCATAGACGTCACGGCACTTGGGGCTCAGGAGCTTCTTGAAGACGGTGATCACTCCGGCTCCGTAACCCCGGTCAGGGTCTTTTTTGTACTCCTGAGCAAATCTAGGAATGGAAGGGACAGGGGATGAGGCTTCACAGGTGCCTGTCAGGGTTGGGAGAGAAATCCGCTGGTTTGGGAGCTGAGGAAGCCCTGGGGACCTCGGGAGCCTGTAGCAGCAGTGAGGACATTTCTGGCTCCCGAAGCTGCAGTGGCCCTGCTGAGGGTGGGGGTCCCAGCATGCATGGCATCACTGCTCTGGTCCAGGGGTGCAGTAACTCGGCCCCCCGGTTTGCCTCACCCCAGGACCATTCCGCTCACCTGTGAGCCATGTCTACCTCGTCGAAAGCCTCCTTGGACAGCAGGGACTGCACGAGGGCCCTGGCCATGGCGGTGTCATCTGTGTAGTACAAAGCTTCTGCGGGGACAGGTGGGGGAGGGCGGGCTGCAGAGCTCAAGGCGGCAGCTTTGGCCTCTGCCCGTTCCCTTCACGCACCACTTCCAGATGCTCAAGTCAGCCGCTCCCTCCACCCAGCTTCCTCGGCTCCAGGTCGTGGGGTTTTCAGCAATTCTTTGTTCTGAGACAGTGACCATGTCCTGCTCTTTTCTGAAGGAAATCCTTCCACCCCCTTCTGGCTGCCATCACTGCAGCCTACTCTTTTTAAAAAAAATTATTTAATATATTTTTATTGATTTCAGAGAGGGAGAGGGAGAGAAACATCAATGATGAGAGAGAATCATTGACTGGCTGCCTCCTTCCCGCCCCTCACTGGGGATTGAGCCTGCAACCGGGGCATGGGCCCTTGACCAGAATCGAACCTGGACCTTTCAGTCCACAGGCGGATGCTCTAGCCACTGAGTCAAACTGGCTAGGGCAGCGCTACTCTTTCCCCCCCCTATTAATGTATTTTATTTCTATTTTATTTTTTATTGATTTGAGAGAGAGCGATTTGTTGTTCCACTTATTGATGCATCCATTGGTTGATTCTTGTATGTGCCCTGACCCGGGATCGAACTGCAACCTTGGTGTATCAGACTGACACTGGGCTACCTGGCCAGGGCCTGCAGCTCTAGTCTTAATACGACCTGCTTGGGCCTCTCACATTTCCTGCACATTTCCCACCCTGCAACCCATCCTACATGTGCAGCCAGATGATTCTTCTTAATACTAGACTGTCACTTTCCTTATCTCACTCCCCTACTCAAAATGGCTATTGGTTGCCTTCAGGATGAGGCCCAAATTCACTGCTGTGGCATTCAAAGCCCTCCCCTCCTCACTCATCTTATGTCCCCCCATTCCCCTACATGTTCCCAGGATCAGTCTTGGAGCCTGGGTCAAATCCATCCCAGCTGGGACTGCTCCCCTCCCTCCTCCCACCCTCACTCCCTCCTCTGGGTGCCCAGGAGTCCTGCTCTGGCATTTTCAACACAGCACCATTGTTTATGTGGTGACTTAGCAAATAGGCCAAAAAAGGGCTAGGGACTTGGTTTCATTGGAAGAATTGGTTACAGCCCGGCCGGTGTGGCTCAATGGTTGAGCATCAACCTAAGAACCAGGAGGTCGAGGTTCGATTCCCAGTCAGGGCACATGCCGGGGGTTGAGGGCTCCATCCCCAGGATGGGGCGTGCAGGAGGCAGCCGATCAATGATTCTCTCTCATCATTGATGTTTCTCTCTCTCCCTCTTCCCTTCCTCTCTGAAATCAATAAAAAAATATAAAAACAAAACAAAAAAACGGTCCCTACATCTTGTCTTCACCTCATCTCTCTCCTTCCCTTTGTAGCAAATCATACTCTATTTTCTCATTTTCCATTTCCTCCTAAACCCACTGGAATCTAACTTCCAGGCTTCAACCTTCTACTGAAAATGCTTTTCTAAATCCGGACTTCCCTCGCCTTACCGTCTCTGTAGCAGACCAGTGACCAGCATCTTCACCTTGAAATGTTCTCAGGTTTTGTTGATACCCATGCCCCCTACTTCTCCTCCCATCAAACTGCTTCTCTAGCTCCTTTCCTTGCTGTACTGCATGTTCTCCAGGAAGAATCACCCACTGCTTGACCTCAGCCGTGATCCTGAGCTGAGATCTGGGTGAGGAGCTGACTGCACAGGGGGCGGGAGGCTGGGTTGTGGGGGCGCCTGGACTAGTAGGAGCGAGGGGCGCCGCCGGCACAGACCGGGCTAAAGGGGGCAGATGTGCGAGGGGCGCCGCCGGCACAGACCGGGCTAAAGGCGCCAGATGTGCGAGGGGCGCAGCACAGAAGGCAGGTGCGGCGGGTGTCAGTTGAAACGAGACAGACACGCTGAGGATTGAGCTCTAGCCTACGGGCAACGGAAAACCACTGCAGAGCTTCCTGCGAGGAGGCCGCCATAAGGTCTCCGTTTTGGGAAGAGCACTCGCCGCGGTGTGGATAGTGGACTGGGGCGCACTGGTTTGAGACAACTGGGTTGAGACAGGAAACATCGAGAGGGTGTCTGTGCCGGACCAGCGCGACTTAGGGTTCCGGCGGGCGCGCCTCGGAGGAGGGTGTTGCCACGCCCGAGTCGGGAGAGGTTCGGGCGAGAGGCGTGCGGACG